CCGCTTAATCAGAGCGTGAAGAGCGTGGAAAATGAATACAATTGCCATTATTAACTCTCGATTCGAGCATCAGAATGAGATGATATAAGTAGAGTCACGCTCCAACCAAACATATGCCACAAAACCACAATCAATCACAAAATAAATTTCTTATCTGGCATTTTAACGTAAGAGGTAAAATAAGAGTACAATATTTAAGAGTTTATTCTTCATCCACACCGCCCACACCACAACTATAATTTATAATGTCGCTTTATTTGGTTACTTTTATATAAAACTATGATTTTCCAATGTTAGATGGTCCGAGGTTGCGGCCAAAGTTTTCATCTCTTAAACGTGAACGTCGAACGTCGAACGTCGAGCAGCGCTCGACGTTTGACGTTCGCAATCTCGCTATTAACTCGAGTTCCTTTTTAAGGATCTACTTATTACGATTTGTTTACGTTTATTTCTATTCGTGCATAAAAGAATGTTTTACATAGTAGCGTAACACTCATAGGAGGAAGGGAAGACGTGTATCAAAAGATACATTAAACTCACGCAACATTTGAGCGATCTGCCAAAGGGATGTCTCCAGGGAGAATTTTCCATGGGAAACTGGCCTCTATTTAAGTGTTAGACACGTGAAGAAACCCGGAAAACTCCACGTGGACAGCCCATTGGTAAAGTACGAATCCACCAGCAAGTGATCAGTCGGTTTTATCCGCTCCAGCATTTATCCGCTGTTGAACAATACTACGTAATTTATATTCATATAGGTTTGAATATTTTTATATTTTTTAAACCGAAAACAATTGTGACAAAGACTTTTATGTACACTTCTTTGTTTCGAATTATTTAGAGATATAGATCTTGATTTATAGAAAATCTTATCAGTTATGTATATATAGACTTATAAATTAACAAATATGTGTATATTAATGTAAAGATATTGCTTATTTTTATTTATTAATAAATAAATTTTAAATCTTGTTAAGTAAAATTTAAATATAATTTTAATTACAACACTTAAATTAAATTCAATTAGTGAATATTTTATGAGATAAAATATATGGAATTATTACGAAAAATGAATTAAAAACTCCATAATGAAAGATTAAAAAATGCATATAAATTTCAATTTAACATGCTTTCACGCACATCAATTTTTAAAGAGGAATTTCAGGAATAAAGGTAACACTTAGAAGTAAATATACTTTAATAATAATTTATTAAAGAATAAAAAACGCCTATCTCACGTGGAAAAACTGTCTAAGAAAAGATACAATTTAGGTTACAAAGACGGAAGGAAGAATGAATTTATCGAAAGTGAAATGTCCTTGATAGATAAGTAATTTAGAAACTTGTTAACTCTATAAATCTTAACTCTAAAGCTTACGAAATATATATATATATATATATATATATTAAATCATGCGAACAATTGAAATGCTTAATTACGTTTTAAATAATATCAACAATGGATAAAATTGATAAAAAAAAATAGTTGTTTTCTAAACAATACGAGTAAACAAAATCGAATTGTTATTATTTTATTATCGAATACTTTAAAAAAAATAGACCCGAGAACCGAATAAAAAGATACGATTTAATAAACAAATGTGCACCGAGCGACCCAAAAAATCTTCGGGTAGGTTGTACTCATTGTATTCTTTTAAAAACTAATGGTCACGTGTGTGTTCTACTTCGTTAAACACGGAAGAAATGTATGTCCTTGAATTCGAAGAGTTCATCACATTATAAAATTGTTTCCGCATTCTGAATAAATTTTCGATAAATCAAAAACAAAGATTATCTTATTTGTAATTCTATATCAAATTATATTTATTTATTAGCGAGGTTGCGGTCGAAGTTTTTATCTCTCAAACGTGAACGTCGAACGTCGAGCGCCGTTTACAATAGCGGCGCTCGACGTTCGATGTTCACGTTTGAGAGATAAAAACTTCAGCCGCAACCTCTCTATTATTAAAAGATAAAAATAAAAATAAAAATTGTTGGCCCGCTTTCAACGTCTGCAGCTTTATATATGCCCTCATTCAGTCATTTATAGAATACGTGACGAGGATGTTCTAAAATCTCCTCNTTCAATAAACTATATTACAGTATATAAGGCAAAATACGTGACGAGGATGTTCTAAAATCTTTTCCGGTATCACGAATAAAAGTGAAAGTTTATAGGACTCGTTATTAAATCATACATTACAACGAAAGATTTCAATTATATTTTTAAAAATATCCTGTGTATATATATATGTTTATAAATACAGGATGGCCAAAAAGTCAGTTAACTGTATTTTGTTGCGCTTTGACGTAATTATAATAATTTTAAAGTATAACGTATGCTTTTCTTCGGATAAATTCTTCTTAAAATATATCAATTATACTTCGTTCTATTCGTATAAGTTATGCCTCGTTAAAACGTTGTACAATACCTCGTTATAGCGTTCTATAAATAACATCAAGAAAACATTTTTTCCCCCTGCTTTTTAAGAAAACAAAATTCTTTCATTTAATGTATTTTAAATGAGAAGAATTGTAACAGCGTATAAATAAATACATATACAGTATTAAGAGATAAGATTAACATAATTCTAAACCATGTTTCTGTATGGAAGTTTGCCATTCAAGATATTTGTAAATACAATAACTTTAATTATCAATTACTGTTCAGTAAGTTATCAGTAATTAAATTAACAATATTTTACTATAGAACTAGTTAAAGAATCCATCTAGTTAATTATATTTATGAATATATTCATTTAAATGCATTAAAGGTGGCCTTATCAGGCCCTATCATAGGGACTATTTGGCTAGAGGATTACCATTTATGGAGCTTCAAAAAGAATTATTTCTTATATATTAATTTATTTTGATCATATTTTATTATTTAAGAATATAATACAATTTTCTAAACACTGTTTTTTTTTCAATATACTGGGAGCCTCGAAAGGTAAGTGGCCTATACCTTTCGTGACCTTCGAGAGGCCCAGAGTATGATTGATTATGAATAGATTAGATAATTCTGACCGCTTATTCTTTTAATTATAATTTTAAAAAATTGTTTAAAAACGAATACAACTTTAATAAAGTCTGACATATTTATTTTTAGAATAATTCAACATTAAATAAAAAAGAAGAGAGAGATGGAAGGAGGAAACTTGACTTTATCATTCCTCTCACGTCTTCTGTAGTTTGATGTCACATACAGAGAATGAATTGCAATGTGATGCGGTGATGCTAGTGCAATTTACAATAAAACATGTTCTTTAATTTAAACCAAATTTATATCTTTAGTGGATATTATTGTCTTGTGAATAACATTAATAATATTTGAAGTGTTAGTTACAGTTCGATAATAAATTTCTAAGCTTAAATTTTGCATTGTTTATTTAAAAATATAACAAATAGGTCTATTTAGGAAATAAAAATAATAATAATAAAACAATCGAACTTCTAAAATGTCAAGAGAGAGCCATTTCTTCTCGAAAAGCATAGGAAATAACCTCCATACAACGGCCACCTCCGTTCCCTCCAGTTACTGCTGTACTGTACGTCTTTTATTAAATATTTATGTCCGTAATAAATAACTGTACATTATATTGATTTTTATATAAATGTATTTTTTAAATTTTATAACTTAATTAATAAAATTCATAATAGTTTTTCTTTATGTCGTGTCCTTGAAAATTTTAACTTTTCTCGTTGCAAAACAAGTTTTAAAACTTACAAAATAATAATAATTTTAATATTGTTTGAAATATATCTAGTTAATTTTTGTTAAATTTAAATAAAATCTTCATATAAACAAACAATACTACACATATAACACTACAACACAACAATATAAATTAAACATATGCATAAATTTCTTTAAAAAGATAAAATATATCTACCAGAAATGTACTTTAATAAAAGAAAATATTTAATTAGGATTAAATATGTTGCAAGAAATTTAAATTTAAACACCTCAGGAGAAATTTATATTTTGTAATTGTTGCAAAAACTTGTAAACACGTTCATTTTATTAAATTTAACATATAAATCAGGTGTATAAGGTTACAAGCGTATGCTTAAGAAATTCGAAGAGTTAATATGAAGAAGGTCATCGAGAAGGTAATAATAATAATAATGAAGAATCTCTAAAAAGGGAATTTAAACTTAATGCTAATTATTATTATTTTATAGGTTAAATGTAAATTCGTATGTTAAATAGTGATCTTCTGCCTATTGAAACAGAAAATCTATAAAGAGAAATCATACACAGTACTAAATAATTAACAAAATCGAAATAGTCTGGAGAGAAATAAATAAGTATAAATCATATAAATTGTGATGATTTACATTGATTTAACTGATATAAGTCTAAATCGGTAATATCTTTCTCATGCACGAAAGGTATAATTGAAAGAAAAACGAGATGATTAAATAAAACAAAATTCATTTCCCGGAATAGCACGACAAATTCAATAAACTATATTACAGTATATAAGGCAAAAACACGGTTAATTTAAGCTGAATAACTTGCATAAAACGTAGAATGTTACTATTATGAATGAGGTTTCCAGAAGGACCGGTTAACTTCCTTACGATCCATTTTAGAAGCCCGTTTTACACTAGATCTATTATGTACAGTACATAATCATACACACAAAGAATAAAAAAAAACACAAAAAAGTTGAATGTTAATACTTCCTCTTAGGAGAAAAGGATAATTGTTCATTTTATTGTACTGTACATTTAAAGAAGCAAACATTTTGAAGTATTTTTGTATATTAAATTAGAAAAATAAATAAATAAATAACCATAAAAACGTATTTTAACAGACTAATTTTTTACTTTATAAATTTGACACATAACAGTTTAAACATCAAGTCCAACAGCTGTTATAACTCTACCTTACAGTGTGTGTGTCGAGTAAATTAGAACGATATTTATATTGTTCTATGATGGAGACAGTTTTATATAAATATATAAACCAGTTTATTAGATATTTTCGGTGACACGTGACAACGAAGTCTAAAAGAATTGGACATCGAACATATATAAGAACAGGTGGTATGGTTTAATTGGAAGAAACGAAGCGTGATGTCATCGGCTGACCGATCTCCGGTCAATGACCTAAGTATCCTACCTCCATTTGCCACCGAAAAGGAGAAATATATCTCTTCTAATATAAAGTTTAACCCGTATTTTCTCGTACTTATCTCCAACGTTTACAATATTTAAATCGATCTCTATCCCATATGTTCTTATATTTATTTCGAGGGGGAGGCGAGTTTCGTACGTTTAAGATGAATGACCGGGAGTTATCGACCGGAAACAAGCGGTATTACTTCATTTGCTTTTGTTTAATATGCATTAACTATATCTAATATTGGATACGTAATGGAAAGGAATTCATCATATTGTTGCGGTAACAGTGCGTCGTTACGTATTGGAATTGCGCCTGCGCTAGTGTTGCTTAGTACTACGTCACAGAGTGTATAGTTTCCATCAATTCTTAGCAAGGTCAAATCGGGAGTTATCTCGTACGGAGCAGACGGAAAAGGCTGTACAGGTGAGTATACTTGCCAGCATTCTCCTTTGTTTTCAATTCATTTTTAGTGTTTACGCGTCAAAATTTTAATGTAAAATTAATTTATACGTAAAAAAAACAGTGCCTAGAAAGGTGTTTTATATATTAATATATATATTAATTCGTTATAAATAGAGTTTTTATCTAGAAATAGAGTCTAAACTATATCTTGTAAGAAACTAGATTTTTAGCATGTAAAACTTAATTTATTTTGGGATGTTTATTATATAGAATAATATGCTATATAAGTAGAATAATGTAAATTATTTTCTACGTAAACAAGGAGAGAGCTCGAATGAAACCATCTCAAATGATAATTGTTATTGAATTGTTAGTCATTTTGTAATTTATTCAGCTATTTGATGATATCTAGAGGAGTGATTTCTTCTCCTTCTAGGTCATTAAATTCCTCTAGATTTATATAAATGTTTATTTCATTATAGGAATTAGAAATTCTCCAAGATTTACCCTTGGATTATTTTAGATGTTTCTCTTCAACTTATGCATTATGCATTACATATTATACCTTTCATTTTTATTCATTTTTATTCATGGTTTGATTAAATGAAAATTTGGTGGTAATTTTAATATACTGTACTATGCATTATTATTAATTTTTGAATGGATCTATCACTGTACAATACATAATGTTCTATTTAATGTACTGTAGTGTACAATACATTATTATTTTCACGAGTGACATTTTTTTTTCATTTAAATCGAGAAAAAAAAGGGTCAACATTTGATTATATCGAAGGAAAACAACTGGAAATATTCCAAACATGCCGCTCTATTGACCAACATTTCAGTAATATCATTTAAGATAACTTTACTCAAGTTCTTTCCATTTACTTAAAGTACGTCGCAAATGGCGTAATTATTGGCCTACTTTAAGATTCTCTCACTATTTTATTATTATTATCGCATTTATTTTCTAATTTCGGTAGCGTAAACCGGAAATTATTCCTTCTTTAATTATAGATTCGTATTATGAACTATTTAAAGTAGGAATTGTTTTATTATGTTTCTTTTTCCTTATTTGATAATTCAGTATGTTAACAACAATTTTTGGAATAAAATAAATGTTCCTAAAAATTAATCTGTCATTATATATTATTTACTTTTTCAAAATTTATTTCCGTTAGTTTGATATGAAATACATTATTATTAATCTTGTTAGATCCATTTTTTTATTTCTTCTAAAGATACCGCTTAATCAGAGCGTGAAGAGCGTGGAAAATGAATACAATTGCCATTATTAACTCTCGATTCGAGCATCAGAATGAGATGATATAAGTAGAGTCACGCTCCAACCAAACATATGCCACAAAACCACAATCAATCACAAAATAAATTTCTTATCTGGCATTTTAACGTAAGAGGTAAAATAAGAGTACAATATTTAAGAGTTTATTCTTCATCCACACCGCCCACACCACAACTATAATTTATAATGTCGCTTTATTTGGTTACTTTTATATAAAACTATGATTTTCCAATGTTAGATGGTCCGAGGTTGCGGCCAAAGTTTTCATCTCTTAAACGTGAACGTCGAACGTCGAACGTCGAGCAGCGCTCGACGTTTGACGTTCGCAATCTCGCTATTAACTCGAGTTCCTTTTTAAGGATCTACTTATTACGATTTGTTTACGTTTATTTCTATTCGTGCATAAAAGAATGTTTTACATAGTAGCGTAACACTCATAGGAGGAAGGGAAGACGTGTATCAAAAGATACATTAAACTCACGCAACATTTGAACGATCTGCCAAAGGGATGTCTCCAGGGAGAATTTTCCATGGGAAACTGGCCTCTATTTAAGTGTTAGACACGTGAAGAAACCCGGAAAACTCCACGTGGACAGCCCATTGGTAAAGTACGAATCCACCAGCAAGTGATCAGTCGGTTTTATCCGCTCCAGCATTTATCCGCTGTTGAACAATACTACGTAATTTATATTCATATAGGTTTGAATATTTTTATATTTTTTAAACCGAAAACAATTGTGACAAAGACTTTTATGTACACTTCTTTGTTTCGAATTATTTAGAGATATAGATCTTGATTTATAGAAAATCTTATCAGTTATGTATATATAGACTTATAAATTAACAAATATGTGTATATTAATGTAAAGATATTGCTTATTTTTATTTATTAATAAATAAATTTTAAATCTTGTTAAGTAAAATTTAAATATAATTTTAATTACAACACTTAAATTAAATTCAATTAGTGAATATTTTATGAGATAAAATATATGGAATTATTACGAAAAATGAATTAAAAACTCCATAATGAAAGATTAAAAAATGCATATAAATTTCAATTTAACATGCTTTCACGCACATCAATTTTTAAAGAGGAATTTCAGGAATAAAGGTAACACTTAGAAGTAAATATACTTTAATAATAATTTATTAAAGAATAAAAAACGCCTATCTCACGTGGAAAAACTGTCTAAGAAAAGATACAATTTAGGTTACAAAGACGGAAGGAAGAATGAATTTATCGAAAGTGAAATGTCCTTGATAGATAAGTAATTTAGAAACTTGTTAACTCTATAAATCTTAACTCTAAAGCTTACGAAATATATATATATATATATATATATATTAAATCATGCGAACAATTGAAATGCTTAATTACGTTTTAAATAATATCAACAATGGATAAAATTGATAAAAAAAATAGTTGTTTTCTAAACAATACGAGTAAACAAAATCGAATTGTTATTATTTTATTATCGAATACTTTAAAAAAAATAGACCCGAGAACCGAATAAAAAGATACGATTTAATAAACAAATGTGCACCGAGCGACCCAAAAAATCTTCGGGTAGGTTGTACTCATTGTATTCTTTTAAAAACTAATGGTCACGTGTGTGTTCTACTTCGTTAAACACGGAAGAAATGTATGTCCTTGAATTCGAAGAGTTCATCACATTATAAAATTGTTTCCGCATTCTGAATAAATTTTCGATAAATCAAAAACAAAGATTATCTTATTTGTAATTCTATATCAAATTATATTTATTTATTAGCGAGGTTGCGGTCGAAGTTTTTATCTCTCAAACGTGAACGTCGAACGTCGAGCGCCGTTTACAATAGCGGCGCTCGACGTTCGATGTTCACGTTTGAGAGATAAAAACTTCAGCCGCAACCTCTCTATTATTAAAAGATAAAAATAAAAATAAAAATTGTTGGCCCGCTTTCAACGTCTGCAGCTTTATATATGCCCTCATTCAGTCATTTATAGAATACGTGACGAGGATGTTCTAAAATCTTTTCCGGTATCACGAATAAAAGTGAAAGTTTATAGGACTCGTTATTAAATCATACATTACAACGAAAGATTTCAATTATATTTTTAAAAATATCCTGTGTATATATATATGTTTATAAATACAGGATGGCCAAAAAGTCAGTTAACTGTATTTTGTTGCGCTTTGACGTAATTATAATAATTTTAAAGTATAACGTATGCTTTTCTTCGGATAAATTCTTCTTAAAATATATCAATTATACTTCGTTCTATTCGTATAAGTTATGCCTCGTTAAAACGTTGTACAATACCTCGTTATAGCGTTCTATAAATAACATCAAGAAAACATTTTTTCCCCCTGCTTTTTAAGAAAACAAAATTCTTTCATTTAATGTATTTTAAATGAGAAGAATTGTAACAGCGTNACAATGAAAAGTATAGAAAGTTAAGATTTATCAGTTAATTAACTAATTTTAAGTTTATTTTAGTAGCTTATATGATATTATCGAAATACGATACATACATACACTTACATCTGCATATAAACAAACACATACGGTATATATTCTGTGAATAGTTTATACTAGAGTTTATATTAATTTTTTATTATTAAATTATTTAGATAAATTAATATAAATTACAGGTTTTGATAGAATATAGATGTTCTTTTATAACATGTATTAAGAAATAAATATATAAGCAGAGCATGTAATTAAAGTTATTGCAATATCTAAAAGATATCAGAAAATAATGCAAAATTTTTCCTTTAATAACATTATTAACTTTAAATAAAGATTAAGTAGTATATACGATTAGATTATTTTATTAATGTTTTAAACTTTACAGTTAAGGATTATTCATTACACTTTTAAACTATACAAAATGAATTAAAACATTCGAAATTATTGATTAAAATCAGAAACAAAATTTTAGGGAAATTTAAGAGTAAAATAGGTTTAATTGTGTGTAACAAATTAATTATATCCGAAGAGATACGCATAAATTTGAATTTCGAACAATAGATTTGAATATAATTTTAAATAATGCTTATAATTAGACAACCTACTTTCAGATAATAAACTTCAATAAATCAGGATAAATCTTTAAAAATTGATAAGATGTGTTATTAAATTATTAAAAAATAAATAAAAAACAAAAATAATTGAGGANGAAATTGTATAGAAGGAAAATGCTTTTTCTATTCATATATATTTCAGGTATATGTAAAAATCAGTAAACAAATATCAATAAATGACTCTGTTTAAATGTTTATGTGAATATAATCCATTTAACATACGAGATCACCATATAAAGAAAAATATTGCTAACTAAAATTAAAGGCAAAGGGAAAAAAACAGATATAATATCATGCACATTGAGAGAAACTATAGAGAGAGACAATAAAAACTAAAATCAAATCGATATCCATGCATTAACTCAGTCACTTTATTAATAAACAAATAATAATAAAGTATAACTTTTAATATATAAATTATGTGAGAATACTATTATATGACTCTATAACATCACCCTGATATAATTAATTAAATACATAAAAAAGTAAGAAGTATTATCAATTTGATTTTGCCTTATATAAACAGTACAATTGGCTTTTATTACGATCATTTTAGTAATTACCTACAGTGATAACAATAACCGAATGATAACATTAAGCAAGATAGGTGACTATTAATACAATCAGTAAAAAATTTTAATTTT